GGTTATAGGTAATCTCAGAACTAGGTACCCTGAAGAGTTGTCTTCCTCCCATGAGGCCCTGCGAAGGTGAGGAATCGGCGTGCCTATCCTCCTCCTCTGCAAAGTGGAACCTCTTTTGGGGGCGCTGCGGGCGGCGGGGACTGATCTTCCAGCATATAGTGAGTTTTGACAGCTTAGGCTGTCAGGTCTGCACTGAGGATTTCCGTTTATGTCGTTACCATTTCCCCGAGGTTCGCTCTCAGCAAGTTATCGCGCTCTACAAACTTCAAGCGTTAAAAAAAGAAATAAGAGCGGCTAATGTATTAAGATGCAGGAAATGGCGGCATCAGACGTGGCAGGTGCTAAACAGAATTCAATTCTAATCACATTAAGACAGCGGAGCAATTTACTCCCACAATTTATAGAGAAAGTCTAAACGAAGCTGCAGATTGCTTTAAATTCCAATCTGTAGCGGAAATACAAAACTAGCGGAGATTGCTCAGCAATTGCATTGGCAGCGGAAGAGGAAATTATCAATCATTTTGGGGTTTATGATAAGCGGAATTATCACGGCCAAAGGAGACCAGTGGTGGACGGTGCAATGGGATAGCAAGTCCTTAGTAAAGAGTAGGGCCTTTGCAGGAAAGAGGACTTCTTACCAAAATTTGGAGGCTGCCAATGCTCTTTTGAAAATGCAGTTGGCTTGCGGGTTATTTTTTTAATTTTTGATCCAAAGTCATCAATACAATTTGAGTCACTTAGACGCAACATACATAGAATAATCATATACCCCCCCAAACCTCCTTCTATGGGGCAAAGTAACTGCTTCCAGCCCTGACCTCTAACTCAGCCATTGCCCATGCCGTGCCATTCATGTCCTCTAAGATCCAGCCCATGTTGTGCCTGCTCTGATATACGAGGAGGAGAAACCACAATCCAGCACCCTCCTACATGTCAAATCCGCGCCATCAGCACTGTGAGAGAGAGTGAAGCTGATGTACAGTCAGCCAATGAGGGGCCAGAGAACAGACCTGGTCAGTTTCATCACTGTTCTTGGCCAGACCCTCTACACAAAAGGCAGAGGGTTCCCGCAACCATGGACACCAAGGAAACCAATAATGGGCCATGAACCAATATCTTGTCCGATGTCATCTGTTTTCTCCTGTAAATCTGTCACCTGAAAAAAGCTCCTAAACTGGTCACACACCTACCTCACTAATCCTACACTAACTGCTGAACTCATGACAGATTACAAATATGGGCAAGGTGTGAATGGTGGAGGGTGTGAAGGATTGGTGTAAGGTGTAAATGGTGGAGGGTGTGAAGGATTGGTGTAAGGTGTAAATGGTGGAGGGTGTGGAGCAATGGGGTAAGGTCATGAATGGTTGAGAGTGTGAAGTATTGGGGTACAGTGTAAGTGGTGAAGATCATGGAGAACTAGGATATGGTGTGAATGGTAGGGGGTATGGATGATTAGGGTAAGGAGTGAATAGTGAAGGAGTGGAGTAAGGTGTGCATGGAGTAGAGTGTGAAGGATTGGGGTAAGAGTGGATGGTGAATGGCATGGAAGGTTGGGGTAAGGAGTGGATGGCAAAGGTTGTGGAGGATTAGGGTAAGGAGTGAGTGGTGGATGGTGTTGAGGATTGGGGTAAGGAGTGGATGCAGAGGGTGTGGAAGATGAAAGTAATGAGTGGAGAGGATGGAGGATTAGGGTAAGGAATGGATAGCAAAAGGTGTGGAGGATTGAGGTAAAGAGTGGATAGCAGAGGGTGTGGAGGATGGGGGTAAGGAGTGGATGGTGGAGAGGATTGGGAAAAGTGTGGATGGCGAATGGTGTGGAGGATTTGGGTAAAGTGGTGTGGAGGATTGGGGTAAGGAGTGAGTGGTGGATGGTGTGGAGGATTGGGGTAAGAAGTGGATGCTGAAGGGTGTAGAGCATTGGGTAAAGTGTGGATAGCGGATGGTGTGCATGATTGGAGTAAGGAGTGGAGCGTGTGGAGGATTGGGGTGAGGAGTAGATGATGGAGGGTGTGGAGGATTGAGGTAAATTTTGATTGGTGAAGGGTTTGGAGGATGGCTGTAAGGAGTGGATGGTGAAGGGTGCGGAGGATGGTTGTAAGTAGTGGAGAATTAAGGTAAGGAGCAGACGGTGATGGGTGTGGAGGGTTGGGGTAAGAAATGGATAGCAAAGGGAGAGGAGAATTAAGGTAAGGAGTGGATAATGGAGGGTGTGGAGGAATGGGGGAAGGAGTGTATGGTGGGAATGTTCATTCTGCATAAACTATAGTGTCTTTTAGTACTTTTTCTAGTAGTCCCGTATACAAAGCAATCGTAACATCACATATGGAGAATGCTGTGTGCTGTGCAGAAACACCTCGCAACCACTCTGAACTGTCAGCTAATTGTGGAGAAGGCGGATGCGGTGCAATCGGCCTTAAATCTGCCTCTATTTCCTGTATAAACGGCTCCTCAGAGATTTGCTGCAATGCTTTCGGCGCCATCATCTAACCTCTGCGTCTCGCTCTAATTATAAACAGGCCGTCTCATTAAGATTTTACATTTGAGGTGAAAACCAGGCGATTTTGGCCTTTTTTAATTTTTTTTGTGTGGTTTTGTTTCTCCTCCGGCCCAGCTCCCGCCTATGCAGTCACCTCTTCTAGCGGGAGAGTGAATCTCGGCTGAGCAGGAATACGCTTCTGTCTAGTTACGTGAAAACTCTTGGAACCCATTCAAGCGTGCGGCTGTCATAAGCTCTATACAAGTTCAGAGAGTTCGATACAGATCCTGCGCGGAGAGCCCCGAGGGAGACGTGTTTTACTCATCACAGACAGCCAAGAAAAAGCCTTCAATTTCACACGATGCCGAATCCTTGCCTGGAAAGCGGGCGGCCTTCTTTTAATGTTTTTCAAGTGGACCTATCATTAAAATTCCCACTTTACATTGAGCAGCAGGGTGCATGTCGGCATCACCCAACCACATTAGTAAAACCATGCTGCCTCCTTTTTGGAAATAAAACAACGGCTCCCCTTCGTGACTTTACTCCTAAGCAGCTTAGGTCACATGGTCTCTTGCTACCTGAAGCAGGCCTCGTCTGGTAGACTTACAGGGACATAAGAGGGTCAGCAAAACACAACCAGAAAACAAAAACGTTAATACCCGCTGCCTGTGCCCTTGACTTCCTGTGGCAGAGACGCAACAGGAAATAAGAGGAAACTTCTCCAAAATGAATTGAAATCTCCTTGTAGACAGTTGTCACTGGAATAAGTGTCCCCATTGGAATACTTCCCCTCTATCGTTCATCTTCCAGTGACGACTGTAAGGTTTTCGTGTTCCCACCACCTTCAGTCCTGGTGACATTGGTCACCAGTACAGAGAGGGTAAAACTCCCCAACGGGAACACAGACAGAAGGGTTCCTATCCTTCTACACTCCAAAAATAGAAACACTTTTTTTGGTTTTTGCATTTATTTCACCACGAAAGATTAAAAAAAAGGGCGGTCAAAGTCAACGGCTTACCTGGTGGACTCTTTGGACAGAATGCCGACGTAGGAGGTGACGAAGTTCTGAAACTTCCTGTGCTGCTCCTCCCACCGGTCTTCCACCGAATAGTAATTGGGCAGAGGAGCCCCAAATAAAATCTCGCTCCGCAGTAGAGAACTTTTCAGGTTTTCCGTCGTGAGGTTCTCGTCCACGTACCAATAGAACTCTGGGTGAGTCATGGCCAGCTTCAGAGACCCTGCAAGAGCACCAACATTATTCTCTGGGCGGATTGTACAAGACACATTTTATACTCCAAATCCCCCAAAACTGATGGTTCAATGGTGTGTTGGCCATCCCGGCCTATTTCTCAGAAACTTCAGTAATGAGACATTCAAACTAACATTTTGAGATCTGCCTCGGCCGATACAAGACTCAACTATGGCCTCCCCCTCCCCCAATAGACTCTCTATTGTAGAATTAGCCCCCTTGTAGGAGGGACGCAGAGACAGTAACATCGTGCTACTTGGAATTGCTCCCACCTTCTCCTCTCCGTCCTGTTTTCTCTCTGTAAATTTTGTATTCAACAATCTAACACGTTTCTGGGGTCTTTGGTTCCCCCTTCGTCAGGTCTCAATCTTTTGGTTTGGGTTAAATATTAGACTCATGTGGTCTAATAGAGGGTTAATACAACCAGGAAATAAAAACTTTTTTTAATCCTAGAAGCTGATTTCAGGCCTTCCCTTTAGTCTTGCACAGTTGTAACCCTGCACAGCCCACCTGAGATCCCATACAGCCCATCTGGGACCCTGCACGGTCCACCTGGGATCCTGCACATCCCACCATAGACCCCACACAGCCCACCACAGACCCTGTATAGCCCATCTGAGACCTCTCACAGCCCACCATAGACCCTGCACAACCCACCATAGACCCCACACAGCCCACCACAGACCCTGTACAGCCCATCTGAGACCTCTCACAGACCACCATAGACTCTGCACAACCCACTATAGACCCCACACAGCCTCCTGAGACCCTGCACAGCCTTCTGAGACCATGAACAGCCCTCCTGAGACCCTGCACATCAACCTAAGACACTGCACAGCCTCCTGAGACATGACACAGCCTCTTGAGACCCCACACAGCCTCTTGAGACCCCGCACAGCCACCTGAGACCCCGCACAGCCACCTGAGACCCTGCACAACCTCTTGAGACCCTGCACAGCCACCTCAGATCCCACACAGTCACCTGAGACCATGAACAGCCCTCCAGAGACCCTGCACAGCCACCTGAGACAAGACACAGCCTCCTGAGACCCCCACACAGCCACCTGAGACTCTGCACAGCCACCTAAGATTCTCCGCTGGAGTCATCAGGTTGG